AATTTTTTATTTCTCATCCTCATTTCTTTGGGATCCCGTGAGAAATACGAGAATCTTGTTTATTGCTGAAATATATCTTGTTTAGTGTCTTTCATGACCGTCCCTGGTGTGTTCCCAGCAAAACTGGTCATAAAAATGCTCCCAAGTAAAGGAAGAAATAAAACAGGGAAACTGAAAGAAAGAAAAGGAAAAGGAAATTTATTGGGGAGGAAGATGGGTGCGCCTTCTGGGGCTCCAGGTCCTAATCCGGGCGAGGGCAAGAAAACGGAGATGGAATTGGTTGAAACCACCCGAAAAGTACTGGTCATGAGAGACCCCCTCAAGCACTTGGAAATGATGGCTGGACACCTTGGTGAGAGTGGGCGAGCACCAGGCATTTACCCTACAGCATCCCTGGCTGGTGATCGCCTGGAGGTCCTCTCTTTCGAGGTTTTGGTTGCACAGTTTCTATAGCAACTTCTCGTGGAAAATATTTGTCCTCAAGGCCTACAAGGCTGCGTGTGAGCCCAGACCCTCGGATCTCCTGGCTCAGAGCTTCAGTCTTCACAGAGCTTTGGGCAGTACTGGATCACCGCTCAACCTGTATGTCGTAAATCCACCCCGAAGATTTCCACAGATCTACTTTCGGAATTAAAGGGAGAGAACAAAATGTGTTCCCATCTGTTAGGTACAAACAGAGTCATGCTAACAGTAAGAATTCAGATTTCACTAGTTCTTGCCATTACTGCTACAACCCAGCATTCTCACCTGAGAATCTACCTTTGGTTTTATCTGCGGGGGGTGGAGTTGGGGGTGGGGGTGTCTCATCTGTGTTTGTCAGGGTCAATACCCTCAGGTCCTTCCTTTCAGCTTGAAGATTCTGTGATCTATGAGACTGGTGAGGAGGGTTATGGAATCTTTACTACAGGAGCGTGTATGTGTGTGTGTGTGTGTGTGTGTATTTTTAAATTCTGCCTCAGAAAATTTCAAACATATGCAAAAGAACAGAGACTAGTATAACAAACTCCCATGTATCCATTGAATTGCTTTAACAGTTATCTATTCAATACCAATTTGTATCTACATCTACAGCTGCACCACTCTACCCCACTGGATTATTTTGAAGCAAATTCCTAAATATTTTAGAATATATCTTAGAAAGACATGTTCTAAAAACATGTCTTAAAAAATCTAGTGCAAGAGTTTTTAAATCTGGCTGTATTGTATATAAGATGTTTCATGCATATATGCATTTTCCTGAGAAATTGGTCCGTAGCTTTCATCAACTTTTTAACTGGTTCGGGAGTCTAAAAGTTCTAAAAATTATTGCTCTAAGTAGAACAATGAGAAGAGAGGAGTCAATTTACCTGAAGGTCAATAATTGTCAATAAAACTGTCACCACCAATCTCATTCGGAAGTATTTCTCAGATATTTCTTGGAATGTTTTAGCTGTTGTAAATATAGAGCAGTAAACTACTACTTTAAAAGCTTTTAGGGTTAATCTACTCTGCAAAAGCGGAAAAGAATAATTTAGAGAGCAGGAAAACACGAATTAGAGTCATGTACACAATGGTCCATATACAATCAGTAAGCGAGTTTTCCAAATGGGCTCTCAGCTTGCCCAGTGAATACATCCAAGTCAGAAACCTGGAGGGAGAGTCAGTCAGAACTACTTCACCCAGAGCATTAGCTCAGAAACATTAAGAACACGGGGCACAGCTGGTGTGGCTCAGTGGTTAGCATCAATCCATGCACCAAGAGGCCAGTGGTTCGATTTCCCCATCAGGGCACATGCCGGGGTTGCAGGACCAATTCCCAGCAGGGGCGTGCAGGAGGCAGCCAACTGATGTTGAAGCATCGATGTTTCCATCTCCTTCCCTTCCCCTCCCTCTAAAAATCAATTTAAAAACACATTAAAAAGAATTACAGGTATAGAACTGCTCAAGATGTCCTAACAGTTTGCAAATTATAAAGGAAAACACTGCTTTTAGGAATGTGATACTAAAATAATAAACACTCA